GGGGCGGGGCCCTGCAGCCTGGCCAGGCGAGCTGACCGGGCCGCACTCACACTGCCCGCAGACTTGCTCTGCGCCCCGGGGGACCACGGGCCCCTCCCTGGCCCCCAGACCAGCGACGCCTGCCCCTGGGCACCCCCGGAGGGGGTGACTGACGCTGGGGGGGGCCCTCTGGACTCACTGGCCTGCCCGCCCCCAGGCCCCTAGGTGCCCCGCCCCCCGCGCCAGACGCGCTCGGAAATGCCGAGGCCCACAGCGCCCCCGCCCGGTGGCCCAGCGCCTGGCGGCTGCGCCCCGCGGTACCTGCGGACGCGCTGGGCTTCCTCGCGGGTGATGACCATGTCGGTGACGCCGCGCCCGCACCTGCGAGGGGAACAGCCTGCGAGGGGCGTGGTGAGCTGCGGGGCGCTGTGGCCTGGGGCGCAGCAGCCCAGGAGCAGGCCCCCAGGCGGGCCGCCGGTCACCGGTCACTGCTGCCCGCTTCTCATGGCGCTCACGCCGTGTGGGCAAGAGTACGCAGGCCGCAGGTCCCCACGGCCCGGCGCCCACACGCCAGCCCCACCCGGGCCGCGCCCACACCAGCCGGGAGCTCCTCCAGGCCTTGGGGTGCTGAGCTCCGCCCCCGGCTCTCCCCTCCTCCAAGCCAGCCGGCCGGCCCCAGCCGGTGCTGACCCCTCCACCTCTGCCCCCTCCTGCCCACTTCTCCCTCCTCACAGCGCCCCCAGCTGGGCCCAGGCCAGCCTGGGGGCGGGGAGGCCGCACCCGCGGATCCCTCCCATGGGCCAAGCGGGCAGCGGAGGGGAGACGCGTGGCCCACCCCCCTCTGCCCCGCCGATGCACCTTCAAACCGCCGGTGGCCGTCATAGTCGTCTGAGCAGGGCACCTCGATGAACCTGCCCAGCAGGACCTCGCCGCGGCCAGCCAGGACCTCGGTGACGCCGTCGTCAGCCACCTGGCTGCCCCAGAGCAGGAGCCCGGCCAGCGCGGCGCAGGCCCCCAGGACGCCTGCCCTCAGCCACTTCCTCCGGGCCTCCCGCGGCCCTCGGCCGCTCTTCCCGCTGAGGAGGAAACAGCCGCGCTGGGGCGACGCACGGCCCCAGCCCCAGCCAGCACCCCAAGAGGGACAGGGCGGCCCCGGCCATGGCCAGTACACTGGGGGTCCAGGGCAGGCCCCGCAGGACCAGGCGCTGAGGGACTTCCCAGCCCCTGACCCGCTGCCCTCACGGAGCCCCTGGCATGGGCTTTGCTGCCTGAGGCCGTAGTTGCCCCAGAGCCGCTGCTGGCTGCCAGGGCGGGTTGTGGGCTGTGTCTACCTGGACACAACCGCTGGGGACGGTGGGAAGCCCCCGCGCACCCTCAGCCCCAGTGTGCTGTGGGTCTGGCTCTGCTTCCCCCCCCCGCAGCCCCACGCCCCCGGGACCAGGCGGGGCGTGCCCACCTGGCCCCAGGCGTGGGCACCGTGGAGGGCCCGAGGGGCACGCGGCGAGGAGGAAGAGCCCAGGCCAGGGTGAGGTTGGCATCTGCCACCAAGGAGCTGCATAACCGAGGGGCGTCCAGGCAGCAGCCTAGGCGGGTGATCAGGCCCCCACCAGTGGTGGTGGGTCTGGAGGGGCAGCGGGGAGGGGTAGGGCTGCTTCTGCTCCTGTCGGGACCCTGGTCTCCTGCCTGCAGAAGCCACTTTCCTGGTGGGCCAGGGCGGGGGGCTCGGGTCCAGTCCACCCCGTGGGCAGGGGGGCACTTGTTGCCAAAGGCAGAAGCCGAGGCTGTGCCTGTGAGAGGCCCCAAGAGCCGGCGCGGTCAGACCCAAAGGCTGGGAAGAAGGGGGCAGCCGCGGGCCCCAGCGGCGTGGGGGTGGGCTGCAGCCTCCTGCCGAGGGCCTTGCTCTCCCCAGAGCAGTCACCCCAGGCCTGCCGCACCCGGGCCCCGACCAGCTCCCCCCCACACGCCAGGCGAGAGCCCTGGCACCCTGGTGCCGCCAGCAACCTACACGCTGGCCTGGGCGCCGACCAGCGGGGCTCGGGGACAGGGCTCTGGACCACTGGACAGCGAGTGCCTCCGAGCCAGCTTCCACAACGCGGGGCGGGGCTCTGGAGGCCCCGCCC